TACAAGGGGCCAAGAATAGCCAGGGAAAATTGAGGAAGAGGAACAAAGATTGTGGACTTACACTGCCAGAAATCAAGACTGACTATAAAGCTACAGTAATTAAAGTAGTATAGAATGGGCACAAGGACGAATAGACCAACAGAACAGAGTCCAGAAATGGACCCACACATACACAGTCACTTAAATTATGACAAAGGTGAAGCACAGAAAGGACAATATTTTTGATAAACAGTGCTGAGTTAAATGGATATCTATACTGAAAAGATGAGCACAAATAATATTTTGATTCTCCATCCATTGATTCATCTTATTCATTAACTGGTTTAGAACTTAGATTGGGGGAATTTATTGGGAGAGCCACTATAAGTTTCTGTTAACCTCTCTCCTGAATTTTAGTTACACTGTCTTCTGTAATCCACTCATCCCACTGTAGCTTGGAATACTTTCTCTAAACCACCTATCAGATCATGTCACTCTCGTGCTGAAAATAGTTCCCCATTGATAGCTCCCTATTGTTCTCCAGATCGAGTCTAAACTCCACATGTCTTACCAGGCCCTTCCTAATCTGGACCCTGCTTCTTTCTCCATTATCATCTTTCCCCACTTCCTGTTGGAACCATGACACACGCTCTGTGTCATTTCTTTTTCCCTTCAAAGCATTTATACATGTTGCTCTTCTCACCTCGATAATTCTAAGCTCCTTTCCTTGATGAATGTCTACTGGACCCATGGGTCTCAGCCTAAACGTCACTTCCTGTAGGCCTGAAAAACATCACTTACTATGGCTCTAAACATCACTTCCTGGAGGAAGTGGATACCCACCCACATAAACATATACTCTCCAGCCTCCCAAACAAGTCACCACTTCCTGCCACGCCTGAGGGCTCCTACAGAACAGCACTGTGTTCTCAGCCTGGTCACAGAATTCCCCACACTGTACTATTGTTTACTTTTCTGCAGCTCTTTGAGGGGTGGCAACCAGGTCTTGTTCACCACTGTGTACCCAGTACCAAGCATATAGTGAGCACTTAGAAAATACTAGTTGAAATTAATTACCTTTATAATTTCTTTTTTATTTTT